CGGGCGCGGAGTGGGCCGGGGCCGGGGCCGGGGCCGGGACCTCGCTGTCCTTGCGGGGCCACGTCCTCCGCTCCCGTCGTGGCGCAGTGCCAGCAGGCCCTGCGGCCTAGCCGCGGGTTGGCTGTTTGTGGCCTCCTGAAATTTGACCTGTGCTTCTGAACTGCGGCAGGTGGTGCCAGTTCTTAAAATAAGTGCACGAATAACTAGCGACATGAGCGTTTTTCGAGGCCGGCCGAGCTGATAAGCTGCAGAAGCTCTCCTGCTGCTGGTACATGAGCATTGAAGTGTGTCATTTGTGAGGGGGCCTTCCTGCTTCTGCCCTCTGCCAGAAGTCACCCCCTTGAGCATGTGTGCTTACCTGTGTAGCTTAAAGGTTTGGAGCAGCATGTAGCAGCACTGAGAAGCAAGTGAAAGGTAGCTTGTTAAATGAAGTGGCTGATATGTCTGTGTAACTTGGCTCTGCCTTGCTGAAGTCTTATGCTGGTAGCATTTATAGCATGGCAGGTATTTACATATGAGCCCATGTAAAGAAGAATACTAATGCGTAAGAATCTGAAGTATATGGTAATATGCGTCTACTGATAGTAGGGACTGTGTCTTGCTAGGTCAGAGGAATAGGATTAGATTCCCCTTTCAATCTGAAGGAATAACAGCTTGAAAAAGACAAGCTGCCTATCTATGTTAAGAAACAAGTGCAGCATTTCAGCTCTGTGGCTCTTCAGGCTGTCTATTGCTACATAGTGACATCTGTTTGATTTGCAACTTATTTTGCAGATTCAACGTACACCTTCCAGACGAGCTCCAGGCTCTCCTCAACTCATTTCTAATGTCTGTGATTTTTGAGCACTCAGCACAGTTGGCCTTATGTTTATCAGTATGTAAAACTGCACTAGGAATGGGATTTGATTAACAGAATTAGGCTGTCTAGGACTGCTGCAGGACCTGCTGTGTATTACTGTGTTCCAGGAACAGGTGCTTTCCCAATGGACTAAGAGTAGAGAACAAAGGTGAAAATACATGAATCTGAAGCAGGGTGGTGGCAGCAGAGGGGGGATTTCTTTAAGCAGCTAAATGTGGATTTTATTTTATGATGAGCCACCAGGTGCTGTGTGCTTTTCTGGGTGGAAATTCCCTCTATAGGGAAAAATCCCTGTCCCATAGAATGGATGAAGTGTAAAATGCCTCACACCATAGTCTGTGCTTTCACAGACTGCTATCAGTCTAGCATGAATTAATGTGTATTTTATGTGATGTAATTGAAGTTAACTTATTTTAACCTTCAAATGGAAATTTGGCCATAAACCTCAATGTGAGTTTAGTATCTAAAAAAAATTCTTAAGCCTAGTTTGTTCCATTTACTCAATTTTGTGGCCTCTTCCCCCATCACACGTGTATATGCTTTTCTCCCCCACAAAACTGTGAAATACCCAGAAAAAAAAAAACTATTGCTCTGATTTGCAGAGCCACTGGTCGAGTCATTTTAAGTCACAGGAAACTCTTCGTGAAGCGTGCTGTGCGGAAATTAAATACCAGACGTGAGGTCAAAGCTCTCATAAACCCTTTTAATAAACCCTATCCCTGGGTAGGAGTGAGTAGTCTGGGTGTGAGCGAGGGAGTGCAAACTGAAAACAGTCCTGCCACCTACCCTGACTCCCTCTCACTGGCAGACTAAAGTCAAGTCTTGATTAGGTCAGGCTGTTTCCTGTTCTGGTGCTAACCTGCTCTGCCTCCATCTGGTTCAGCTTTTCAGCCTCTTAATTCACAATGTTCTCTAAATAGAATTCTTACGAATCTTCATTAAAGCTAGTGAACTCATTTTGGGGTGGCATAGGTGGAAGATAACGCAGAAATGCACATTTCTTACAGTTAAACTTCACTGTGAAGAAGGATTTGTACTTGGGGGTTTAGCCTCTAACCATTCTCTCATTCTCTCTCTGATTCTCCACTCCTTCCCTCACAAGCTTCTCGCCTGATAGGAACCCTTTGTGCAGTGCGCTGTAAGACATGGCCTCAAAAAGAGCATTGGTGATTCTGGCAAAAGGGGCAGAGGAGATGGAAACTGTTATCCCCACTGACGTTATGAGAAGAGCTGGAGTGAGTATGCAGGCAATGAAAAGGTCTTTTAATGGGCATCTGTTCAAGTGAATATCTGTGTCTCAGGACAGTGTTTGTTGGGAGTTCAAGAGCTAGATGGTTGTTTGGGATGAGAATTCACCCATGTTTTCTTACTGCTTGGCAAATATTTGAGCCATACCCCAAATAGGCGTGCATTACCAGACAACAGTTGTACAAAGGATAAACATAATAAATGCCTCATAAACAACAAATACCTCAAACATTTGAAGTATGAGGCTGGTGGAAACTAGAGCAGGTGTTTCAAGCAAATCTTATGGGATCTTGTGAGATCAAGTAGTCTTTAAATGTACTATTTGAACTGTTGTTCTGTTTCTGACAGCTTTCAGTGTTTCTCAACTTGTTCTAAGTGCTACTTTAGGGCTAATATCTAAGAAAAGCGTTTCTTGTTTCTGTAAATGAGTGTGTTTTCATGAATTGTAATGATATATATATATATATATATATGTATCTCCTTCTATTAGATCAAGGTGAGTGTTGCAGGCCTAACAGGGAAAGAACCGGTACAGTGCAGTCGAGATGTCTTCATTTGTCCTGATGCCAGTCTAGAAGATGCCAGAAAAGAGGTTGGTCATCCTGATCTGTTGTAGTGACTAGTATGGCCTTTGTTACAGTTTGGGAAGAGAATTTGGAAAATTTCTAAATAACCTTTAGAAGTACACTGCGCCCTGGCTTTACGCAGCAGTAGCTCACAGAACTGTGTGTTCTGCAGTTCTCTCCACTAGTTTAGTGCTGCTCCTCTGTGTACTGGGATCAGTCAGATTGCTGAAATCCAAACAGGTATTTGTTTTTACAAAGCATCAAGCTTGGAGTTTTATTTAGTGTGTTAGTCAGGTGGTCCAACAAAGTACCTTGATTTGGAACAACAGGAAACTTCTGGTGGCAAGCTAAATACAGTTCAAACTGTATAGTAAGCTTGGAATCCTTTCAGTGCCAAACTGCTATTTGGCTGATGAAGCTCTTAGTTTCTTCAGGCTTAAAACTTGGTTCTGAGACAGCCTTTGCTAAAAATCGTCTCTTCCTTATATGGGAAGCAATATTTTCTTCCATTTAAAGAAATGAGATCTTTGCTCTTAAAGTCACTGTCATTTAGTAGAAGAAAAGACAGATTCCTTTGCCTCTCACCTGGCTCCACTTTAATGGCCTCAAAACAATGCAATGAATGGGCCAGCCTCTGTTCTATGGAACTGTGCTAAGTTTTATCTTCTGTTTGTTCAGGGGCCTTATGATGTCGTGGTCTTGCCTGGAGGTAACCTTGGAGCCCAAAACTTGTCAGAGGTAAAAATCAAAGATATTTTCATGGGTAGTGTGTGATTTGCACTACTACTACTACTAATAATCCTGCATATGCAGTTCAACACCTGAACATTTTTTTTGAATAAATCAGTAAGAGGCAACTAATTGTTTATTAGTCTAAGCAACAGCGTAGGTTCTTGGGCTTTTGAGTATTTAGTCAAGCAGAGTGAAAAAAGGAAGAATGCTCTGTATGGTGGGAAAGTGACTGTTCTTAATGAATTTGCGTTGCAAATGAATATTTAATTCCATGAAGCATAAAACAGGCTGACCCCACAGGAGTCTGTGTTCCTCTGCTCAGGAATTCTGTCTCTGGCAGAAAGTGTTTTAGAGGTGATATAAAGAACTCGTAGAAGATAAAGTGACAAACAAGTCCTATCTGATAAGATTTAGATAGTATTGCATGGGTTTTTAAGGCCTCGAATGTGAGACAAATATCCCTTCTAATTTTTTTTTTTTTTTAAGAATGATAGAGACTGTCTGGATTAATCTCATCAATACTCGTTCCCCTTTGTCTCATGTGAAGTTCTCGAACAGGTACTTCCTATAGCCATATGCATCTTTTGTGCAGGACAAGTATTTCCCTTTACTGATTTCAGATTTTCCCCTTCTTAGCGCTTTCATTACATTCTATCGTGAGACAGGATTGAAAGTTGTTGGTTAGTTTTCTGTGAAAACTTTTATGAATTTGCAGTAGAAAACATTTCGGCCATGTTTCGAGTAATCAACCTGAAACAATGAGTTGTAATATGGCTTCTTTTTACAGTCTCCTGCTGTGAAAGACATTCTGAAGGACCAGGAAAGCAGGAAAGGCCTGATTGCTGCTATATGTGCAGGTGAGCTAATAAGAGATATTGCTTTGTAAAGTGTTTGGATATTTTGAAGGGACATGCAGACAGTTGTCCTGTCTTAGGAATCTGTGTCCCTGTAGTCTACTAACAGGAAAGTATATTGTGTGTGTAACCCTCGGCATTTGAATACTGTGTAAATCTAGCAGAAGATCTGTAAAATACAGTTAACATCCTGCAACTCCTGTTGGACACCTAGTCCTTTCCAGTCATAAGGTGTTAGATTTGTGGCTTAAGCATACCAAGTGAAATATGATGTAGACTTGGGTGTTGTATAAAATACTTGCTTATCCCAGTGATTTTTCACCAGGACACAGTGCTGGCACAACATCGTTGCTATAAGTTTGTCCAATATAAAATAGCATGGCCCTTGAGCTTCATTAGGAAGGCTGTAATGCAGAATTTCAGGCTCACCCTTCCTCTTTTGCGTGGCAACAGGCAACAGAAGGATTTTGAGGAGATGCCTATTGCCTTGCATGCTCTGCACAGCTAGGTATCTAGCTTCTTTCGAAGTAAGTGTTGTATGTGAAAAAGGCAAGATAAATAGTTGTGAATAGTTGTGAATAGTTGTGTGTATTCGCAACCGAAGGGCAAGATCAACCAGGCTATATGTAGCTCAGTGCAAAGAGTGACCATGAGGGTGTAAAAATAAATTGTCTAATAGGATGTATTTATGTATTTTCACTTTTGCTTTCTGATGTGTCATTGGGGTTTAAGAGGTGTAGAAGGGCAGGCCTGGATCTTTCTTGGTTTTGTTGTTGTTAGGTGAAATGCCTATGGAGCTGTGAAGGTTCTTGAATGCGACCGTGACAGCTCTCTACTTCTACTCCTGTTTCTGTTGTAGAATAATTATAAATTATCAGTCACCTAATATAGGCCTTTTCTTGCAATTAGGACGTTTCATTTAGATACAACGCTTTTCAGAGCAGATTGTAGCTAAACAGCAACACATGTATTTCCTAGAACACATCTGAAATGAGTCAAATGTGCAAAAATGAAACTCACATCAGGCAAATCTTACCTTCAGTTTCTCTTGGAATTCCCATAAGGATTTTCTGTCAGATGATGTTATATTGTTTTACACAAAATCCTTCCTCAATTCAGACCAAGGAGGAAGTATCAGAAGAGAAGAGAATGTAAGAGAAGAGGAAACCAAAAACTTAGCAGTTAGCCCATCATCTGTCCAAAATGCTGCTTGGCATGGCGACTCCAACATTTAAAGGCTTCTTCGAATGAAAGTCCTATAAAAATTCTCTAAAATTAAGATTTAACAATGTAATAAAATACTTGTATCTAATTAGTGTTCCGATTGAAATGCAGGCTTTTTCTTATTTAGTTTCAAGTAGCTTTAAATATAGCATTTGAAATACATCAGTTTGAAGGCGTCGTACTTGCTTTCATAAGACAGTACGCTCATTGGTAGGATAGCTGCCTAAACTTTCTGTGTTCTTTTTATGTTTTTCCAAGATAGGGTGTTTTGTGAAATAAAATGGGAGAGATGAGGTAGCCGTGTTCCTTCTGAGGCTTCTTTTTTCGGAGATAAAGCCAGGATCAATTTTATAAATAGTAGTCTGTCCACAATGAGCTTTGAGCCTTCAATATATGTTCTGCTACATACAAATACTTTTGAGACTTTGGTGTAACTTTGTCCTTACAGGCCCTACTGCCCTTCTGGCGCATGGGATAGGTTTTGGAAGCAAAGTTACAACACATCCTTTGGCCAAAGATAAAATGATGAATGGAGGTATGTAATGATCATAATTTTCTCCCTAAACTCTTGTCAGAAAATACTTCAGTTGCACCCTTTCCTTAAAGAAAGGGTAATAATTCTGTAACTTATTTTTCATCTTGGAATTTCAATAATGCTTTTCTGAATATAATGAAATTTCAATTGGACGTGCTCAAAGTGTGTCTTTAAATCATTAAATTGTTTTTGCCTGAAAATACAGAGCTGTATTAGCATTCTCATCCCCAGGAAACTACACTCCTATTTTTTTTTCTCCCCACCACCAAGTACTCTTGAAGCAAAGCAATCTGAAGCTGTTTTGGTTCGTTGCCTCAATGGCATCAACCCAGACAGACTCTTTTCTCCCTCCCCCTCCCTCTCCCTCCCTCTCTTTTCTTCACCCACAAGTAGTGCTTTGGTGCTGTGAGCAGCTAGTGGGCCGTCTTTTTCTTGTACATTCACACATTTTTTGTGACTGTTAACCAGTTTGAAAGGTGAGCAGGAGAGGGCAGGGTCTTCCAGTTTCTTCTGAGTGCATTTGAGGGGGGGAGTTATAAACTCATATATAAAAGCAATTACACCTTCAAAAGTAACTTTATGGGAAGTTACAGGCACAGTGACTGCTTCCTGAGGAGTATGTGCAATCAGAGGTGCATTCGCACACTGTGAATGAGCTGCAGGAGCTTCATGCGGGGCTGTTCCCCCTGCCAGGCCAACGCCAGGCAGTGACAAGCTGCTCGGCTCCTGCAGTGCTGGGGATGTCTGTGGAGGGGAAAAGGAGCCCCGTGGGCTGCTCGCGGGCGGCGGGTGAAGCGCCTCTGGCAGCAGGCCCTGATGCCGGCATCCGGAGCCGGCCAGAGCTCAGTGGTTCTGTCGGCTCCGTCGCCCAGAGCAGACGCTGTGCGTGGCGCCCTGCGGCTGGCTCTGCTGCAGCGGTGGTGGCCGCAGCGCCGTGCGGCTGGGTGACGTCCTTTCTGTTGTGTCCCCTCTGCAAGCGCACTACCACTACTCCGAGAGCCGTGTGGAGAAAGACGGGAACATCCTCACCAGCCGTGGCCCTGGTACCAGCTTTGAGTTTGGATTGGCCATTGTTGAAACACTGATGGGGAAGGAAGTAGCTGAACAGGTGAAGGCACCTCTGATATTGAAAGACTAAAATCCTGGTCAAGGACTTACAGTAGAACAGCTGACTTTCCTAGAAGAAGTGAAAGATGCATTAGCATACATACAGTCTAATTGTGGGTGAATTTTGTAGCTGTACTCCTTTAAACTGCTTTTCCCCTGCCTTACAAACCAGGGGTGTTAATTCCTGGAAAAAAAAAAAATCCTATTGGCAAACCACATCAGCACTAGAAAGCAGTTAGCATCCGATCATCTCATTTAGCTCTTGGATGGCATTTAAAAATCACATGGACTAATATTTGCTGATTAAATAAAATTGAAGCACCCCTGCTTGTGTGTTGTTTCTTTGTGTGTTTTCTCCTAACCCAGAGCTATTAAACTGTTTCACCGATGGCTAGTGATGCACTATTCAAACCAGCTTACATCTAGAATCTGGCACAGTTCTTCTGAAGTATGAGCTGAAACTGTTTATTAAGTTGTAATTTAGAATTTGTTTTAAAATAATATTTACTTTATAAGGCTAGACCTCCTAGAGTCTTCCAGAACTCATGCATGATTTAACAATTTAACTCAAGGGCATTCCATTGATGATATATGGAGAGAGAAATCATGTTGGCCAAAGATACTGTGCAACCACTTGTGTTCATAAGGGTGAGTTTATTTCTGGAGATACTCTTGTAACAGGGGTGGGAGTGAAGATTCCCAGGAAGACTAGGACCATAATGGTTTTCAGAGCAAATCTTTCTGATTCCTAATATTAATGATAAAACTTTTCAAAACGGATAGAAGTGAAAAATTGCTGCAAGATTGGAAGTATTCCCAGAATTGTGGTCTGTAACTTAGTGTAGTAATTTGATCAGATATGTGAATGGCCTATTAACTTTCAGTATATTAGATAGAGTTGGTATTAAAAGCAATTTTCAGTTCCACAAGTTCATTGTAAAACAGAAAGGGAGAATTTAGCCAAACTAAAAGAAAATAGCTGTAGTGAAATAATCAGCCCTAAGAAATAACAATTAACATGGGAGAGGGGAAAGAGAAATGTCTATACTGAGATAGCTAAAGATACACTTAAAATGAATCAGCTGTGACAGCAGCAAAATCTAATACGTTTGTAACCTCATATATAAACTTTCATCTGCTTTTAGACATCACATTTATCCTGTCAGCCAGATTCTACAGGTATTAACTACTGTTTTTTTTCCAGAATAGTGATTACTCGTAGTCCTGAGGCCATCAGTACTACTGCTCCAGCTCTGTCCAGCAGCATACTAGCCCAGTGAACTGTATCTGTGCTCAAAGAAGTTGTTCTGCAGAGAAGTTTTAGTCATCCTATTAAAGAAGCTAGAAAATCAAAAATATGCATTTTTCTCCTGAACTATGTGAAATGCCAAAATGCAAAACTGAAGAAAGTGAGGTGGCGATGGTCACAGAACCATCGCTTCTCTTATTAGGGGTTAATACATAGAAAAAATAAAAGATGTTAGAAGGGACTCTCAACAGCCAGATTAGATACAGTGATAGATACAGTAGATACAGTCCTGTTGGGTTCCAGAGGTTCTCAGCACCTCAATTACTTCAACTTGAAAGGATGAAAAAAAACCCTTTGATCCTTTTGTTCCACAGAAGACTTATGAACTATGTGGGTGATTATATGCAGCAGAAATAAAAGAATAAAAGAAAAAGGAAAAAAAAAATGAAGTGCAACATCCTCTACAGCAGAATTTGATAAACTGGTTTCCTCACAAACTGACTGAGATACTGTTTTTCAGCTTTCCGTGAGGCATTACTCCGTGGAACTGTTAAAGACTACCTTCTGCTTTAGGGCACCTAAAAATACTGACCTAAACTTGCTCCTAGTGCCTAAAATGAACAGTTCCTAAGCCACTGAATACCGTAGCTTTGCAGCTGCTCTCTGCAGAGTTGTGCAGGCCCCACCTGCGCCGAGTGCCCTTCCCGGCCCTGAGCAGCCTCAGCTGGGCCCTCTCAGCACCCTCCGCCCCCAGGCCTGGAGCTCCATTTAAGCTGGGGCCTGGGCCCATCCCCGGCCCTTAGGGGCCTGTTGTGCTGCCAGGGCCTCCTGCTTTCATTTTGGACCTGCCTCGGCACTTCAGAGTTGCTGCGTGATCCCCGCACTGCTGGCGGAAGCTGTTGCCTCCAGGAGACCCTCCCTGCTCTTCTCGTTCAGGTAGGGGGGATGTGCCCCTTGCTGGGGAGGGCACTGCCCTGGCCTGCGTTGCGGCTGCTGCTTTTGGTTCCTGGCTTCCCTGTGCTTGCAGAGGGCCCTGCTCTCTGCTGTTGTTCCTTGCAGGGAATGCTGACGTGCTCGTGCTGTAAGAATACAGGGTTTCTCGCTGTGCAACACAGAGTCACTTCTTGTTTCCTTGTCTGGTAAAAATGGATGTTTTCTGCTCAATAGTTGAAAAAATCAAAAGGACTTCGGTTCCTAATGATTCCCCCTGTAGAATATTTTGCTTTCAGGACTTAAGAATGTTGGAATCGCTGTACCCCAAGAAGCATATATTTTTATTGATATTTTTCTTCCTCTTTTTTAATTGTTTTGTTGTTATTTTACGATTGTGTCTCTTAAGCTGTCCAGTTTGTCCTTGCTACTAAGTCTCAATGAATTGCTTTGAGACACTAACGTCTAGGTAGCTCCAAAATCATTTCAAAAATTGCCCGTGTTGTGTTGGAGTATTAACCGTAGGAGTTGCTTTCTTTGGTACACTGAAACTTTTCACAGCTATTGAGCAGAATGCTCAAGTTTGTGTATTCATCAATAAGGGGATTTCTCCACAGTCTGGCTAAAGAGCAGGACAAAGGGAGGGGAGACTGAGCGGAGCCATCAGCGAGTGGGACAAAAAGAGCCATCTGCAACGAGATGGGGGCCTTTACAAAGGAGGGAAATAGGGGAATCCCCTCACATTCTTCAGCAAGGGGGACAAAGGAGTCAGGTGGCCTTGGGTGAGAGCAGATGGCGGGAGGCCCGAGGGAAGGCTGTAACTGCTGAGTACCTTGGCAATGGGGAAAAGGAGAGGGCGCCCCTCGGTCGGGAAATTAGGATAAAAGAGGGGCTGCGTCCCCCAGCAAAGTGAGAGACCCCACAGGGGTATGCCCGGTGGGCTCTCCCTTTATTCGAATAACGTCTTAGGACGACTCTGTCTCCTTTTGGACATTCAGTTCTTGACAACGAGATTTTCTGCACAGTTATAACACGTTATTCTTAAGAAAACATTGCTCACTTCCACATATGTGGTTTGACTCCCACTTTCTACTGTATTATTTTTGTAAACTGAAAAAAGTCCTCCAGCTATGCAAGATAGTGACAGGCAGATGGGAGGCAAGCTGCCTTGAACGGTGATAAATCTGACCGTGTGCTTAACAGGATATTTAACATATTTAACAGGAAATGTGCTGTTGAGTCAGGATTTGCTGTCTCTTAAGAGAACTGTTATTTCAGGATGTAGTTTTCTGTGCTGCCTTTGCACTACTGCATCTGACACATTGATCTCCATGTGTCTACAGAGGAATGCTCTTCAATATTGTTGTGCAGAAGACAAGGAAGGCTGGTGCTACAGGGAGCTTGTCCTGCTTTCCCAGTAAAGTTTTGGGATTGAGTCTTACAGTATTGTCAGTGAAGACTTGATTCAGATTTGTCAGTGAGATGCTCTGTCAGAGAAAACTCACTGCAGCAAAGCATAAAAATCAACAGTTTTAAGTTTGTGAGATGCTACTAAAGTCTAGAGGTTTCGGGGAGAATGATGGAGAAAGAGTGAAGTAGCTGACTTTGGAGATCACGGTGAGAAGAAGACTAGAAAACGCAGATGCCCAAGCAGCAAGAAACGCTAGGTATAGTGCAACTCTTGCTCCCTGTAGGAGCTCTTTGCCTCTCAGGGGACAGTGTATGTTTTGCTGGTAGCTTTCCAGAAACAAAAACCTCTGGACCAGAACGCAGAGGCTTCCAGGGACAGAGGAGGGCAGATGGGAGCCGCCCCCGCCTGCCCGGCCCGCGGAGAGCCCGGGAATCGCGGGGGGCGGCC